GGAGGCCTTTTGGGGTGGCATGCGTGTCATCGCCAAGAGCAAAACCGTGCGGCCGTGGGCCAAAGCGGACAATATCCTCATGCGGGTTGCTTGGGCTGTTACATTGGTATCAGAGCCGGGACCCGGGTCGGTGTGCCAGCGAGGGCGCTGGACTCCCTTGAGGGGGGGTGGATATAGTCCCACATCGGTTAGGAAGGCGAACGAAGCATGCCATATATATGGGTGTGGATACCTTCCTTGTGAGGAGGCCTTTTGGGGTGGCATGCGTGTCATCGCCAAGAGCAAAACCGTGCGGCCGTGGGCCAAAGCGGACAATATCCTCATGCGGGTTGCGCGGGCTGTTACAACTCCGAGCAAGTTGATCTTGTTTAAGCAAAATATTGACTCGTTTAAGCAAGTTGATGGTCAAATTTACCTATGCAGGTATGATGTTCTTGAGGTTCAAATCTGCATATTTTTTGGGTTTGCTTGCTCAGAGTGCCTATGGGGTCGCTCCAAGCAAGCTTGGGTGGTTTCTTAGAGATGTTTTTTAACCTAGGTCGCTTAGACCAAGTTTTCGAGCACTTTAAGTGAATTTTGGCCATTCAGAATGAGTTATAGGTAGCTCCAAGCGAGCCTGTGTGGTTTCTTAGAGATGCTTTCTGACTTGGGTTGCTTAGAGCAAGTTTTTGAGTGTTTTGAACGAATTTTGGCCACTCCGACCAAGTTGACCGTGTTTAAGCAAAAGATTGACTCGTTTAAGCAAGTTGATGGTCGAATTTACCTATGTGGTTATGATGTACTTGAGCTTCAAATCTGCATATTTTTTGGGTTTGCTTGCTCAAAGTGCCTATGGGGTCGCTCCAAGCAAGCCTGGGTGGTTTCTTAGAGATTTTTGCTAACTTAGGTCGCTTAGAGCGAGTTTTTGAGCACTTTGAGCGAATTTTGGCCATTAAGAATGACTTGTGGGTCGCTCCAAGCGAGCTTGTGTGGTTTCTTTGAGATGCTCTCTGACTTAGGTCGCTTAGAGCAAGTTCTCGAGTGTTTTGAACGAATTTTGGCCACTCCGAGCAAGTTGACCTTGTTTAAGCAAAAGATTTACTCGTTTAAGCAAGTTGATGGTCGAATTTACTTTTGTGGTCTTCATGAAAGTTGTATTCCTAGATGTTGGCTTTCCAATGACTTTAGAATCATTTAAAAAGGAGGTTTAGAACTCCAGTTATGACCTTTTTAGCAAGTAAAGGTCAAGTTGTCAATATTTAGACAAACTATTACAGTTTTTGTGATTTTTAGTATAGTAGATGATGGAATTAGAACTTGAAGTATTCATAAGAGTTGTACATAACCATTTTAGCTTTCATATGAGATAAATATGAGTTTAATTGGAGTAGTATAACTCCTTATGTATTATTTTATGTGAAGGTTGTCATTATATGATAGCTGATTCATGTAAATTATATGTTGATACATGTTGTATGATGAATATGAATAGATGTTTTGAGTTCTATAACATGTTGTATGATAATGGTTCTACATGTATTGATTGGACATGATATATGTAGATGTTTGTATGATTGGATGATAATGAGTGTTAGTTGTTGTACATATATAATGATTTTGGAAAGCATTGATATTCCCTTTATGGATGATGTTGTTGTTGATCTCTTTATGTATTAATTGGATGTGATGCATATAGATGATGTATGGTGATGTTTGGATGTTGAGAATGTGATATGATATTAAAGCATGTTAGCTAACTTAGGACTTGAAGAGAGAAAATTATTTTGAAAAATGAAGATCCCACATAGGGTATCTAGGAGTGGTGCTCGGGTAGGCCACTATTGGAAAATCCTCTTTGAGTAGTTGTGTCTCTTGGAGTGAGTTTTTGAGGTGTGTTGAGTCTTCTCTAGGTCTTTAGTTAGTGGTTGAGTTAGGTAGGAGATCGAGGACTACAACTCTTAACTAAGTACCTAGAAAGGTTGCGTGACTCCTTGAAGATGGCTAGTGGACTAACTCCACATATGACTTGGTAATGCATGTCAAGGTTGTGGTATACTCAATTATACCACTCCTAAAAGTGGACTCTGACTTTTTTAGTGTAAGTGATTAGACCTGAAAAATCAAAGGAGGGATTGGTATCCCATTTTGTTATGATCGAGTTGGCTCTTTGAGCATGAAAACGATTGAGTTGGTTCAATAGGGTGGAATTCACTTAGACTGGTCACATTGTTAGGAGATATTTAGAGGTGAATGCATGATGACATATTGATTGATGTGTTTGCATATGATGGGTGTCAAGGTGTGTGTTCGTATGCATTGTTGATGTCTTATGTGACATAATTTGGGTGAGGTGCATGTTTACTTGGAGTGCTATAGTTTTCATGTATGGTTGGGGTGTGATTTTTTGTTGATAGTGGTGCTACTGCGTGTAACTTGTATAATTGTGTTCGACCGACACTAGAATATCAAATTATTTTAGAATTACTGAATACATGTGTATATATATTGTCTATATTAATATAGGTGTTTTACTCTTATATTCATGTTCCCTGTCTCTCTCTATATATATATATACACACACAAATAAATATATATATATATATATATATATATATATGTATGTATGACACATTCTCTCATTTAATCTTGAATGTTCTAGTAAATTAGTTTTTGCTGCTAGTGATAGAAGCTTCATTGAGTGTAATAACTATAGCAGATCGATACTAAGTTATTATTAAAAATATCACTTTATTTTTAAATGAACAATATAATAAGAAAATATTGGTTGAGTACCATATAAAAGTTCTATTGCTACTCCCACTACAGAACCATGCAAAACTTACAATTTGTCTCAAGCAGTAACATTTGCATGGTTTAATTTACGCCAACTGTTGTCTGGGAACTATTTTAACTCTTACCCCTTCAGACGTTGACCACAGAATCTTGTCTTTGTTCACCAGGAGGACGGGGAGAATGAGAATGGCTGAATTGAGGCATCAACATGTTAGATGTTAAGATGCTTTGCTATTTCTTTTTTTTGGTACAGAACCTATGAACTGCAAAATATTTCTTTCCACATTTCGTCTTTCGTTACGTGTACAATCGGATAACCAACGTCATGTAAAAGAGTTTCGCTAACCAACAGTTATGGCACAAACAAATACAGTAGACACCACCAGCAACACAGACATCTGAGAACCTGTACAATGTCATGCTTGTGAAGCACAAAATCTGTCGGCAATAAACTCCAAAACACAATCACAGTTGCTCATCTGATCCATAATAGAAGTGGCAAAATAAGCTAGCTGCAGCATCAAGCCACAAAAAATAAAATCCATTTTGAACTTCTAAAATAAAATGTGCCCCGTAAAAGCTTATTTTGTAGGCTTTTAACAGGATTTGAGAACTAAAGTCCAAGAACTAAGTCCATAGAAAACCATAAATAAATAAATAAAGACTAAAAAAGTACATATCTAATTCGGATTTAAAAATAAAAATTTAAATCTTACATTTCATCAAACAAGTTGGACCAACCTAGTTAGCCAAACTCATTTTGCCCACTCTGGTTTGCAAGGAACCCTGTTATATTAACACCAATAATACCTATTAATTCTGGAATACACCGAGCGGCAATCAAATATTTGACAATAATACCATAGATATAAAAAATTGGCATGTAAATATTCAAGGCTCATATCTGCATTGCTAGAAAGTACTATTGTCGTAGAGAAATTTGATTTCCAGAAACATAATTCTCCAAGACCAACTAAATCCTTCCCCTCTAATCTTCACTAGCACATAATAATATTAAAAAAGGATGAAATCTAGCGCTCTATCTGTATAGTTACATGACTGATGTTATAAACCCTTTTGATATAGTCTATAACCTTGTCCAGCACCATGTCTGCATCTGCTTCACGTCTGATTTTAACATGACAAGCTAGCAAAACCTTTCCCACTGTAATGGCCCATATATGCAGTTCATGAACAGCCACTACATCTTCCATATCCAACAGCCCCCTTTCAAGCTTAGTAGCATCAATCTCACGAGGTGTGCTTTCCATCAGGACTTCCAAAATGTTACGCAGCATATTGATAGTTGTCACCAAAACAATGACAGAAAATATTAGAGTGCAAATTAAATCAACTATTTGCCATCGAGGTTCATACCATATCACTGCTCCCCCAATCATTACTCCAACACTCTGGATTGAGTCCCCAAGCACATGCAGATAAGCCCCCTGTACATTTATGTTCCATTGCTTCCTCTTCTTAGTTCCATCTTTTGATTCACCAAGAAGAGGTTCAGTAACCTCTTTGTGAGCATGATGGTGTTCTTGATCATCATGAGTATGTTCATGCTTTTCATCATGATGGTGTTCATGATCATCATGTGTGTGATGATGCTCATCTTTTGTATGCTTAGCATCATGATGAGTCGACACAGAAATTCCATGACTGTGGCCATGACTATCGTGGCTGTGGCCGTGACCGTGACCGTGTCCATGTCCATGACTGTCATGTCCATGACCATGGCCATGGCCATGATCATGACCCAACAACAAAGCCATAATGATATTAACCGCAAGACCAAATGCAGAAACTAGAAACATTAAAAACCCATCCACATTTTTAGGACCAGCAATGATTCTATCAATGGCTTCGTATACCAGAATTCCAGCAAGCAACCATATTAACTGGATAGAAACCAAAGCACCAAGAATCTCTATCCGGAAAAATCCATATGACTGGCGAGGTGTAGCTTCCCATCCAGCAGCCCATAAAGAAAATAAGGAGATGGCAAAGGCTGCAACATCTGAAAGCAAATGTGCTGCATCAGTCAATATGGCAAGACTGTTTGCCTTGATGCCGCCAACAACTTCAACCGTCATGAAAATAACACAAAGAATCACTGCCATCAATAGCTTTCGCATAGATGTTGATCTTTCCTCAGAATCCTTAGAGATGGATCCAGCGTCTGCAAACCCACATGGTGCTTCCCCGCAAATCTTCCTTCCGCCATCAGGAGAATCTCCACTGATCTCAATAACTTGCGAATGCTGAGAGCTTTGTGCTTCCATCTACAATATACAAGAAAATGTAACATTTAATGAGTTGCAGAAAAACCATACGCTCTTTCAAGCATTAAACAGAAACAATAAAATATTATAACAGCCATCAATAACTTTTTACAGTATATCTGGGACAATTTGATCCCACGGGACACTGCTCTAGAAGTAGAATAAGTAATTAAAAAAAGAACTGGCTGAAAAAGTGTAAGGTTTGGTGATACAACTAATCCACTATGAGCAGCTCTACCAACCAATTATCAAATAGTACATATAAGACTTGTATTAGTTGTGATGGTGTTATAAATCAAACAGAGCTCTCAACGACACTCTTTAATAATTGGCTAACACAGTTTTCTTAATCAATAGCCCACACCTATGTGTCTTTCCCTGTCTGTGATTTTAGTCTATAATCCATAAGCAACAATTTGGGTAATCAGGGTATAAAAACAAAGTCAAATAAAACCATGTTATATGAGAGAATAAAATGTGATATTCTTTTTTAGTTGGAAGAGTGAGATACAATCTCATATGGACTTAGCCAATTGAGTAAAATTGTACCACGACTATAATAACATAGATCATAAAAGAAAGCAAATGCGAAATAAGTAGACCTCAAGCATTGATGCTTAAACAATTGAGTAATGTTATATCCCCCCAAAACATCCTTTCTACCAACCTCCTAGTACTTTATTTAATATACTTTATATAAACAAGTATAAATATTTATAAATAAAAAGAAAAAAAAGGTTAATAAGTAAATGAAAAAGTAAATATATTTAATATTTTGGAAACATAAAAGCATTTAATATCTTAATAAGGAGGATTGTTCGGAAGAATAGGCACGAGGATTTACAAATAGTCAAAACAATGTATATTTCCAATCACTATGTCTATGTGGCAGGAAAACATTACTTGACAGAGAAAAGCAAAAGTAAGAAACTGAAGGACAAAATTGCAGTTTACAGATATGAATATTCCTTTGGACAATGAAAAGAGAAAATACAAAGATATGTTCTTTTTGCATTCAAAATATCCTCGTGTCTTTATTATGCTCAACTATAGACATTAGGACCTGAACATCGAAACCACAGTTCAAAGTAAATTGATAAGAACCTTGGGAGAACTACACCACAAAAAGTTAGTTGTTGTAGTTAGAGAGACCAAGATCTTACAAAACCTATACTAAAATCCCATACTTCAAATGGGGGCTTTGAATGGTTAAACAAGAATAGAATCATATCTAGAAACTCTAAAGAAAAAGTTTGAGAAATGGATAATGGTGACATGGAAAGAGAGGGGAGGCCTAGGAGCTAAAGGTCATGAAGATAGAGGAAGTTCAACATGAGATACTGGGATTTCTGTCCACTGCAACAGTCAGATTTCCAATCTGCCCAAAATAGTCAGGAGGAGGTGAAGAAGGATTGAATGAAGAAGGGGGTGTTTCGACACAAACAAAAGAGATAGTGCAGAACCATGATTCAGATGAACAGTGGAGAACGTTGGAAATTCTGATTTACTTAGGAAACAAAGCTTAAGAACTAAAAAAGACCTTCTTAACTTGTGGTGAGCGAAAGAGTATCACTGTGAATTGTGAAACTGTAAAGCACAGAATGAAATTCCTACGAAAGAAAGATATAATACGAATTGGTCAGAACATACTACGACTCAATCCATCAAATCAGAAAGCCTTGGAAAGCCTGGTAGGTTACAATTGCAATCCCAGATCAAATCAAATACTTATAAAAGTAACAGCTTTATGATGTAACAATCCATTAATTATAAATATAAGGGCACCGATATGCATTGGTAAATTAATTTGTTATCCTGATAACTAGTCAATCATAAAATGTTTAAACCAGTCATTGGGTTGTTGTGCATGATAATAATTACGATAATGTGATTGAATAATAAACCCACACAAGCAATACATATTTTGTTAATAACTCCATGATTGAAACATGATAATCTCACTATTACTGAGTGATTTAAACTAACCAACATGGTAAAACAGATTTAAACCAGGTCTGAAGAATCCCTTTACAAAAGAAATAATCAAAAGCAAACAACTTGTAACTTGCAATTAAAGAACAAAACTACATTATTGTTTGGCTGGCAAATTGAAGAAACTTGAAAGTAAGAAAACCTTAAAACGAGATGAGCATTAGCTCAGTCAGATATACAGAGATACATTTATAATCGACAAGCTCCAAAAAATATTCACATTCACACGCCAAGAAAGGATTGAAAAATAGTTTGAAGGAGTTGCAATAGCCGACATGCATGTGCCAGTTATAATTATATTTATAAACATGAGTTCCTTCCCAAAGAATTATCAAAAGAAAAAAAGAGTAGGCACAAACAGGAGGCAACAAGGTCAATAAATCACATCTATACTCCAAGATTCAAATTAACATATAACACAAAAACAAACGAAGCAAAGCAGAGAAAACACAGGAAGATCAAGGCATCCTTGCACAATATAAACAATATTTATAGAAGCATGGAGAATAAAAAAAGAAAGAAAAAAAAAAAAAAAAAACAAAAGAACTTGACTTCTTAGAAGCAGAAAAGAGAAATGGATAGCAATAAAGTCAGCAGAGAAGAAGACCAATATGCGGTGGATATGATTAGTCAACACAAGGACAGTGAATATAGCCGCCAGGAGCAGAACACAGTTACCTAAATGTAACACCTCAAATTCTCATACTTTAATAGAGATAGAGAAATGATGCAAAAACTATGAAGCATTTAATTGATTAGGTGAGAGATTCTCATCATCATCAAGTCCCAAAACAGAATAGAACCTTCTAGGACCCCGACATATAAAAAAAATCACAAGTCACAACAACGAGGGTTCGGTTCACCTAAACAAGATTAAGAAAGAAAAATTTGAAGACGCACGTAACAGAGGGTGAAATCATGAGCATTAAAAGAAAAAAGGAGGAAGCGTTGTGGTTGCGGAAAATGTTACGTTATGACGGAGTCAGTTGGTGTGGAGAAGGAAAACGCGATTCTGCGCAGAGTTTGGAAGATGAAAAAGGGTTTTGTAATACGAAGGAGATAAGAAAAGCGACGGAAAAGGTGGAAGAAGAGAAAGGGGATGTATAGAATAAATGCGGATGCAGTGTTGGAGCAATGGGCCTCACCGTTCTGGATCGCTCCTCCTCCTTTCTTCTCTGCTGCCTGCTGCTGCCTGCTGCCTCCTGCTGATTCCGAATCCTTCTCTCTATAAAAGAGGGCAGCCAAAATTTTCAGAACCAATTTGAATAACAGATTTTTATTATTTATTATTATTATTATTAGTACCAATATTACAACTGCGTCTGCTCCATTCTAACCACTAAAAACCCACCCCGGTGCTTTTTTCTTATTCTATAAACTATAAACCCACCTAGTGGTTTCAATTTTATCTTCTTTTCTTTTTTTTTTCTTAAATAAACAAAACTGAATAAAAGATATAACCAGATTTACTTAATTAATATTACTAGAAAAAAGACGCTAAATATTTAATCAGATTTGCTTCCGTGAAAAAATGAGGGATTATTATTTTTAAATAAGACAACTTTTTTTATATATTTTTCTATTTTATTCTTACATAAAATACAGCATCAGATATATTTGTCATTAAAAAAGTTGACATAAAAAAGTGTTTCCTTTATATATTATCATATATATAGAGAACAAAAGGAATGAGATATTAATTTACTTTAAGAGTAAGTTTATGTATCTTTATTTCATTTAATAATTCATATTTTACATCAAATTTGAACAATCTAACTATTAAATTAAAAAAATTTTAATGTTATATAAGTTTGCAAAGTTTTTAAAAAAATTGAATTTTTTTTATATTTTGTTGAATAAATTCAAATTAAAGTATAAAATATTTTTATGAGTATTCTTCAATTCAAATTAATGTAACGACGTATCAAAATTTCAAATTTTACAGATTTAATTTATACATTAAGAACTTTTAATTTAATAATTAGATTATAAAAAATTGATGTAAAATATGAGTTATTGAGTAAAATTTAAATAAACTTACTATTGAAGTAAGTCATACGTAGATCAATATATATGTGTATATAAGAATATGAATATTCATTATGGTAAATCATATTTACTTATTTCTAAATTTTAATCAAGAAATATTATGAATTTAAATATGTTTACCTCATTTTAAATTTTTAATTATTTTAAAATCTTTTGTTAGTTTTTCTAGTGATCTCTTTTATTCTTTATTATTAATTTTAGTTAGTTTAGTGTTGAGATATAACTAAATAAACAAGTAATACTAAACTAGTTTTTTTTTTAATGTAATCATATTATTAATGTAAATTCTCCTCGAAAAATTTGAATTAGTTCTCTTTCTGATAATTTCTTTTTTTCCAACAAACTTTCTAATAATATTTTTTTTCCAACCAACTTTCAAGTTAGTTAAGGTAATAAACATTATTTTAAAATAATATAATTAGATTATTTATGTGTATAGTTTAATTAAACAAATATCTATTAAAATGTTCATGTTTGTTCCTTATTTTTTATATTTAATTAGATCGAATTGATCTTTTAAAATAATAATAATTTTCTATTTTGCAATACACATTTGAATCAATTTATAACATGAAATTTCTAACATTATATTCATTTATATGAAAATTATGAAATTTAATTAATATTCAAATTCAAAAGGACTACAAGAATAATGTGTGAAAAATATATCACACGAGTGAAAATATATTTTTAATTTTTAATTAACTTTTGAACTTATTTATATACGATTTTCACCATATTTATAATATTTTTTTATGTGAATTTTTGTTGCATTCAATAATTTTCATATATGTGAGTTCAATGAAACAAGTTTTAAGTCTTAAATTACACTCTTTAAAAAAGTCTTAAATAAATATTGTTTCAAAATGATCAAATCAAATCAAATTTAAGAAGTAAATGACGAAAATAGACATTTTAAAATAGAAGAATCAAAATAAATATAAAAATAAGATAAATAAGTAAAAATATAAATTAGAATAAATAAAATAATTAGATATAATTTACTTTTATATTTATTTTGATTCTTCTATTTTAAAATGTTCAAGTTTCAAGTCTTAAATTACACTCTTTAAAAAAGTTAAATAAATATTGTTTAAAAATAATCAAATCAAATCAAATTTAAGAAATAAATGACGAAAATAGACATTTTAAAATAGAAGAATCAAAATAAATATAAAAAAATAAGATAAATAAGTAAAAATATAAATTAGAATGAATAAAATAATTAGATATAATTTATTTTTATATTTAAAATTTTTAATATATATTACGATGTTCAATTTTATTGATTTTATTGTTCTTGCTTTTTAATTCATTAATTTACTTTTTATGATTGTATTTCCTTAAAAATTATATTTTTTTAATATATTAATTTTTATTTTTGAGACATATGTTAATATATTACTTTTATTTTTTAATATATTACTTTTCATTTATATAAAACTCAATTTCTTATCTGATATGTTAATTATTTTTAGACTAAAATATTTAGAAATTATATGAGCATTAATTAAAAAAAAAAAAATAGAGTAAGGATAATTTTAGAATAAAATATATAAATAGGACAAATTTTTTATTATTTATTATATAAATTATTTTTCTTAGTTGATAAATTAGATAATTAAATTTTATATACAATAATTAGATTATATGTTATATTCGATCAAAATTAATGAATTGAGACGATATCATTTTTTATAATTTGTCTCATTATTAATTATTCAACTACCATTATTTAAAGTGGTACATTTATTTGAGAGTAGATTAAATTTATTATCAAAAGGTAATACATTTATTTCTCATTAATATGTATATAGAAATTTTAAATTATAATTATTATAAAAAATATTTATAAAGTAATTTATGTGACAAATTTAATATTAAATATTTTATTTAGTATAATAGTTAATAATATTTGAACATATAACTGAATTACTAATATTATTTTTTTCTCAATCATGCAATATAGATGTTTTTTTTTCCTTGTCGTGACGCCTCTCGTCAGTCACATGTTTGTTATGACTTTAATCTAACTGTACTAGTAAGCACCCTTTCGGTCATGCAATAGGCCGAAAGGAGCGCCCAAACTAATGAAACGCACCAATTGGCACCCCTTCAGTCGGACAATAGGCCGAAAGGGGGGGCCCGAACCAAGGAGCCACACCAGGAGCGATAATCGGACGTGGCACCCGTCGTACGATACACGCAACCAGTCGACCCGGGACCAAGGTGAATCATCCGGATGGTATAAGGAAGTCAATGTTCCTCGCCCATCAGGTGGACCAGCGACAACGCAAGACCAACAACGAAGACAGGGAAGGACTCCATTCACGCCAGAAATTGCCGGGGCTCGTTTGCCCGACAACTGGAAAAACCTGACCTTAGAAAAATACGACGGAACCACCGACCCTGAAGAGCATTTGGATGTTTTCGTCACCCAGGTTGGCCTGTACACGGACGAGGACGCTATTCTTTGCAAAGTCTTCCCCACCTCCTTAAAAGGACCGACACTCAACTGGTTTACCAGGCTTCCACCCGGGACCGTGGACTATTTCACGTCCTTGTCTTCTCGCTTTGTAATACAGTTCGCCACGAGCCGACCTCATCAGCTCACGTCCATCGCGCTGGTCAACGTACGTCAAGAGAAAAAGGAACCTTTGAGAACTTTCATGGAAAGGTTCAAAAAATGACGTTATCTATCCGAGATCTGGATCCGGCCGTAGCGATGCATCACCTAACCACAGCGCTAAGACCCGGACCTTTTGTCAACAGCCTGTGCAAGAAGCCACCCCGGGACCTGGATGACCTGCGACAAAGGGCTACCAAATACATGCAGATGGACGAACTGGCGGAATTCCGAAGTCAAAATCGACCCGATCTATCGCTCGCCAAAAAGGAAAACGACAAAGAGCCTCCTAGACAGCGCCAAAGAGATATGCCAGATCGGGACAAGAATGCCAGGGGGCCGAGATATTTGCAGTACACACCACTTAACACCAGCAGGGCTAAAGTGTTGGAACATGCCCTGGCCACCGAAGTTTTGGCCGTCCCAAGAAGAGCCATGACCCCCCCGCACGCCGACAAAACAAAAACATGCCAGTTCCATCGAAACAGGGGGCACACAACTGAAGAATGCTCCGCCCTTCGGGATCGAATTGAAGATCTTGTCAAGGCGGGACATCTTCAGAATTATGTTCGATCGACGGATCATCGAGGGAGCGACAATCGTGAAGGAAGAAGAGAATACCGAAGGGGGAATCGAGATCGAGCACCTCGGCAAAACCGATCCAGGGAGCGGAGTAGGTCTCAAGACAGGAACCAAGGCGACCGAAATCAACCCAGACGAGTCATAAACACCATTGCAGGAGGCTTTGCGGGGGGCAGAAGCTCATCTTCGGCGCGAAAGAAGCACCTGAGGGCGATCAAGTCGGTTAACACTATAGACCGGGCAGCAGTCATCCATATGCCCCATATTACATTCACCGACCAAGATTTCCAGGGTGTGGACCCAGTGCAAGATGATCCCATGGTCATCAGTGTGGAAATCAACAATTGTATTGTAAGGAAAACTCTCGTTGATTAGGGAAGCTCGGCTGATATCCTTTACTGGAAAACTTTTGAACAACTCGGGATCCCAGAGCAGGAATTGACACCTTACGATGAGCCTTTGGTGGGGTTCTCAGGTGAGCGTGTCGACACTCGAGGAACAATAGACCTGTATACTTATTTTGGAGACGATCGGCAGAGACGAAGGATTAAAGTACGATACGTCGTGGTGAATGCCAACACATCGTACAATATCCTTCTGGGTCGACCCTCCTTGAATAAGCTGAGGGCCATCGTCTCTACCCCCCACTTGGCAATGAAATTTCCGTCTGAAGACGGCAAAATCGTCACGTTACACGCCGATCAGAAGACAGCCCGCAAATGCTACCTGGCCAGCCTGAAGGTACAACCGACTCCGAAACCAACTCGACACCAAGAAGTCAACATCATTGGAGACATTGGTCCCTCCAAGTTGGAAGCCTTGGAGCTTGACCCCAGAATTGAGGACGAGTATAGGGTCGAGCCGACGGAGATAACCATTCCGTTCCAGCTTGGAAAAAGGGAGGAACAAGTCACATACCTAAGTTCCCGCTTAACAGAAAAGGAAGCAGAGGACATCAAGCGAATTTTGTTGAGATACTCAGACCTATTCGCTTGGACAGCGGCCGACATGCCCGGCATCGACCCTGGCTTCCATTGTCATCGACTCTCGGTCTGTCGAGATGCCAAGCCTATCGCCCAGAAAAAGAGGAAAATGGGGGGAGATAGATCTCAAGCAATAAAAGAAGAGACTGCCAAATTACTTCAAGCCGGATTCATAAGGGAGGTCAAGTACTCCACATGGTTGGCCAACGTGGTGATGGTTAAAAAATCCAATGGGAAGTGGCGAATGTGCACAGACTACACGGATCTGAACAAAGCATGCCCAAAAGATGCTTACCCTCTGCCCCACATCGACGCATTGGTCGATGGAGCGGCCGACCATCAGAGATTAAGTTTCCTAGATGCTTATTCGGGGTATAATCAGATACCGATGTACCCCCCAGACGAAACCAAGACCGCATTCATCACAGACTCAGCCAATTTTTGTTACAAGGTAATGCCATTCGGCTTGAAGAATGCAGGGGCCACATACCAGCGCCTCATGGACAAGATTTTTTCTCAACAAATTGGGGCATGTTTGGAGGTCTACGTGGATGATATGGTGATCAAATCCAACTCCGCCGCTGATCATTTAAGAGATCTGAAAGTGATTTTTGACGAGGTAAGGCGGCACAACATGCGATTGAACCCAGCTAAATGCACCTTCGGAGTAGCAGGGGGAAAATTTCTCGGCTTCATGTTGTCAAAGAGAGGCATAGAAGCCAACCCGGATAAGTGTCAGGCCGTTATCAATATGAGAAGCCCTCTTAACGTAAAGGAAGTGCAACGCTTAGCCGGACGAATCGCTTCCCTAGCCCGATTCCTGCCCTGCATGGCGGACCGATCCAGACCCATTATGTCCCTACTAAAGAAAGCCACCAAGTTTAAGTGGACCGATGAATGTGAATCTGCTTTCCAAAACTTCAAGACGATACTAACTGCTCCACCGTTGCTAGCCAAACCAGACCCTCAGCTGGACATGATAGTATACCTTTCGGTCTCAGACAAAGCCATCAGCACTGTATTAGTGCAAGAAAAAACAGAGCAGAGGCCGGTATACTTCATCAGCAGGGTCTTACAAGAGGCCGAAACGAGATATCAACATCTCGAAAGGACCGTTCTCGCTCTTGTGCATACAGCCAGGCGTCTTCGACACTACTTCCAAAGCCACAGGATACTGGTCCGAACAGATAGCCCCATTGCAAAAGTCCTACGAAAGCCCGAATTGGCCGGAAGGATGGTCGCTTGGTCCATCGAATTGTCGCAATTTGATATTCGTTTTGAGCCAAGGGGACCCATCAAGGCGCAATGTATGGCCGACTTCATCAACGAATTCACTTCGCCAGTAACCCCTGAGCCACACTCATGGACACTACACGTAGACGGATCGTCCAACCAACACGGCAGCGGCGCCGGTATCATTTTGGAAGGACCGGGGACAATAATAATAGAACAATCATTGCAGTTTGGATTCAAAGCCTCTAATAACCAAGCAGAATACGAGGCCCTTCTCGCGGGACTAAGGTTGGCCGCCGAACTCGACATCACTAAGCTCCAGTGCTTTAGCGATTCACAAGTGGTAACAGGGCAAGTTAACGGCACTTTCCAGATCAAAGATCCGACTTTGCTATTGTACTTTCATGCTTTCCATAAGCTAAAAAGCAACTTCGAAGAGGTCCGAGTCACGCACACTCCCCGGGAACACAACCTTAGGGCTGACCAACTAGCTAAACTCGCTAGTAGCAAGAAAACCAGCCATTTGCGTAGCGTGATACAACAACAGTTACTTAGCCCGAGCATCAATGAAACTGAATGCCTGAAGATTGATCAGGGAAGCCCGTGTTGGATGGATGCCATAGTAAACCACCTTCGGACCGGGGAATTGCCCGAAGATTCCCTAGAAGCGAAGAAAATGAGGACCACAGCCGCACGGTATACGTTGATTGCCGGAGAATTGTATAAGCGAGGCATTTCCTCCCCCTTGTTGAAATGCCTCACTCCCGAGCAGGCAAGCTATGTTCTCCGAGAAATTCATGAAGGAGTGTGCGGAACTCATTCTGGAAGCCGGACTCTCGCAACAAAAGTGATTCGGGCCGGTTACTACTGGCCCACCTTGAAAACCGATTGTGCTAAGTTTGTACAACATTGCAGGCAGTGTCAACAACATGGACCTCTGACGCATCAACCTCCAGAGGAGCTCCATCCTATAACCACTCCATGGCCATTCTCTGTTTGGGGCATGGACATTCTCGGACCATTCCCGCCGGGTAGGGGACAAGTGAAATTCCTGGTAGTGGCAGTAGATCACTTCACTAAGTGGATCGAAGCAGAAGCGTTGGCTACCATTACGGCCAACAATGTCCAAAAGTTCTTCTGGAAGAATGTCGTCACACGTTTCGGAATCCCATACGCCTTGATAACGGATAATGGTCTACAATTCACCGATCGACGCTTCAACGAATTTTTGACCGAGTTAGGTGTCAAACATAAGATGACCTCGGTCGAACATCCCCAATCCAACGGGCAGGCTGAAGCGGCAAACAAAGTCATCTTAAAGGAGTTAAAACGACGACTTGGACAAGCTAAGGGATCCTGGCCGGATCACTTACCGGACATCCTATGGGCATACCGGTGCACCCCACAGAGTTCAACCAGAGAGACCCCTTTCCGGCTGACCTACGGCACAGATGCAATGATCCCGGTTGAGGTGGGGGAACCTTCGCTAAGGCGAACACAGTTCGATGAAGACACTAACCGGGAAGCACTCAACATTGAGATGGATTTGGTAGAAGAGATCCGAGACCAAGCTCTTATCAATATGGAGGCATGTCGAACCAGGTTAGCAAAGAAAATTTGAACCAAAGTAAAACCAAGGGAGTTTCAAGCCAGGGATCTCGTGTGGCGAATTACCGGAGAAGCAAGAAAAGACAAAGCTCAGGGCAAACTTGCACCTAATTGGGACGGCCCGTTTTGCATAATGCATAACTTGAAGAACGGAGCCTACAAGTTGGAAGAGCTCTCGGGAAAGGCTATTCCCCGAACATGGAACGCAACGCATTTGAAACATTATTTCAGTTAACAGTATGTAATTGTTTCGGTGTACTCTTTTCCTTCCTCAGGTTTTGCCCTCTTATAAAAATGTGAAAGAGGTTTTTCTGGGAAAGGTTTTTAACGAGGCACCATATCAATGAAACAAGCTCTTTTGAATCATTCATTTGCCAATTTAATTACAAGTTAAATCATACATGCCCTCCCGAATAACCTCACTCGGCCAAGGACAAAGTAACATTCCCTCTCGAACTACCTCGTTCGGCCAAGGACGAACACTTATTCCCTCCCGAGTACCCTAACTCGATCAAGGATGAAGTAATATTCCCTCCCGAGTACCCTAACTCGATCAAGGATGAAGTAATATTCCCCCCCGAGTCCCTTAACTCGGTCAAGGATGAACGAACGTTCCCTCCCGAACTACCTTGTTCGGCCAAGGACGAACACTTATTCCCTCTCGAGTTCCCTAACTCGGTCAAGGACAAAGTAACATTCCCTCCCGAACTACCTCGTTCGGCCAAGGACGAACACTTATTCCCTCCCGAGTACCCTAACTCGATCAAGGATGAAGTAATATTCCCTCCCGAGTACCTTAACTCGGTCAAGGATGAACGAACGTTCCCTCCCGAACTACCTTGTTCGGCCAAGGACGAACACTTATTCCCTCCCGAGTTCCCTAACTCGGTCAAGGATGAAGTAATATTCCCTCCCGAGTACCTTAACTCGGTCAAGGATGAACGAACGTTCCCTCCCGAACTACCTTGTTCGGCCAAGGACGAACACTTATTCCCTCCCGAGTACCCTAACTCGGTCAAGGATGAAGTAATATTCCCTCCCGAGTACCTTAACTCGGTCAAGGATGAACGAACGTTCCCTCCCGAACTACCTTGTTCGGCCAAGGGCGAACACTTATTCCCTCCCGAGTACCCTAACTCGGTCAAGGATGAAGTAATATTCCCTCCTGAGTACCTTAACTCGGTCAAGGATGAACGAACATTCCCTCCCGAACTACCTTGTTCGGCCAAGGACGAACACTTATTCCCTCCCGAGTACCCTAACTCGGTCAAGGACAAAGTAACATTCCCTCCCGAACTACCTCGTTCGGCCAAGGATGAACACTTCTCCCCTCCCGAGTACCTTAACTCGGTCAAGGACGAAGCAATATTCCCTCCCGAGTACCTTAACTCGGACAAGGACGAAACAATATTCCTTCCCGAGTACCTTAACTCGGTCAAGGACGAACACTTATTCCCTCCCGAGTACCTTAACTCGTTCAAATGGAAGCAAGTCTCCATAGAAAAACCAATTCATTTGAAAGCACAACGTCTACTTAAATGCGTAAGTATAAAAAAGTCCGGATAGGAACTAAAACTTCATTCAATTCAAAAAACGGCACTAACGGCCGGGGGGGTACAATCAGGTGTGGCTCATCCGGCCCAAGGAATCAAAAAAGAAACAAAAAGTATACCCTAACCATATACATCATCAACAAAACAGATGTATGAATCAAAAAGACAAGAACAAAGGCCGCCTAATCGGCATTGGTGGTCTGCTCGGTCTCGTCATCATCATTCAGAGTAGTCCCAGGATCCTCGGCCGGGGCCGATCGGGGCGGGGCCGCATCATCTGGCTCAAGGTTATCCGGCGCCTCGGCAAAATCCATGAATTCCCCCTGAAAGAAGTCCTTGCTCAATTCAAAAGAAAAGTCAGGGGGAAAAGCGCCGAAGTGGGTTGCCTGCCGAACGGCATGCCAAAACCCCTCCTCGTGTTCCTTCACAATCTTGCCTTCGTACTCGGTCCGGAAGGCGGCCATAGCAGCTTCTGCCTCGGCCTTGGATTGTTGCTCCCGAGCAGCGGCCTCTTCCGCCTCTCGGACTCTCGCTTCTTCAGCCGCCAAGGCCCGAGCCTCCATCTCTGATAAAGCCCCTTTCAACCGGGCAATTTCAGCATCAGATGCAGCCTTGTCATTTGAGAGCGCCTCTTGTGCCGAGAGGGATTCTTGAAGGGCCGCCTTAGAGTCCTCCAAACTCTTCTGGAGACTATGCAGCTCGCCCATCGGCTCCAAAGTCATCTTCCTAAAAATAGCCGTCGCCCGGACATGTAACTCACAGGCCATGGCCCATTGCGCCGAGGGAGTGGCCGCATCAAGCATCATGTGACCTTGGGCCGACAGCAAATCTGACGACATCACCCTTGCCGGTCGGATCTCCTCAGACAAAAAGTCCTTAGCCACAATGGCCGAAGGGACCGCCAAATCCGACGAAGACCCTTCGACCCTGCGTTGCTTGGGTCGCGAGCCTTCCGGACCAGCCGCATCAGGTTTCTTCTTCCCCTTGTCTTTTCTCTTCCTGCTCTTTGGATCGGGAAGAGCGATGACAGGGGGCGTCGGTCGGGGGGCCTCCATGACTTGGGGCTGAGGATCAATCGAGACACTACGGTGATCTTTGGCTGAGGACCCAGCCGGAGCCTTGTTCCTCATCAGCTGCCGATAAGACAAGTGTAACCCTTGCTGCGCCATCCAACCTGCAAAAATACAACAAGTCACAAATCAACCTAACAAGCACGAGCAACAGCAGATAAAAACAACACATACCCTCTAGCTCAAAACGAGGCCGAGGCGACTTGGGAAGCAGCACCAGGAACCGAGACGGGATGCACTTCGGCAATCCCTTAAGAACGCTTAAGGCCGACACTTCGGCGTCGGTCATCATATCCTCGGGAAAGTCATCGTACTTCCGAGGCTGACGAGTCCAATAGAAGGGAAAAAGAGGCTTCCCGTCGGCATCGTAAAAATAATTTCTACCGACTACAGGGTCTATGATCACCTTCACAAACCCTGCTTTAAAGCCCTTAAAGGACGATGTGAAGGGCGTCAACAGCGGTCGGTCAGGATTCCGAATCAACGACAACCACTTCACAGTTTTATTAGACGGGCGCGTACAGAAAAGATGCAAAAATAAACCTACAGTCGGCTCTACATAATGATATCTACACAACACCCGAAACGCTTGCATATAAGCCCACGCGTTCGGGTGCAACTGGGTCGGAGCCACGTTCAAAACGCGAAGGACCCCCATCTGGAAATCATCAAAAGGAAGCGACATCCCCAGTTCCCGAAAGAAACACTCGTACATATAAAAGAAATCCCCCTGACCTTCCCGCTTCGCAAGGAAAACCAGATCGAGCTCCCCAGGGCCTTCGGCCCGGCATCGACGCAGCATGATAGGATAGGGGTCCCAACCTTCCCATCGGCCCATCGTGCACAGACTAAGAAGGCGTATCACGGCGGCCCTCTCATGAAAACGAGAGAAATAGGCCGCCACCTCACCATCGACCCAATCGTACCCGGGGATCTCGCAAGGAGGGTATTTCTGCCTGTAATCCCCAGGGCTCATCTCGGCATCGGGTAATTCCGACCCAGTGGAACTCCCCGATTCCCCACTACGCTCTGGCCCCGACCCAATGGGACCCTCAACTATCTCTACTTCGGCGTTAAATGCTAGCATCTCAGCGTCCAAATTTTGGGCTGAACCCCCATCGCTGGCCGAGGACCCTGACGACAAGGTGACACCTTCGGTGGCCATTATCACACAATAGATAAAAAACAAAAACCAACCTTTTAAGAGTGTTCGGCTCAGTGAAGAGCATGTACAGAGGCCGTGTAGAGAAAGCTTGAAAAATGAAGCCCCACCTCAACACCTTATATAGACTACTCGAGGCCACCCAAGAGGCTCACAATAAATGCACTTGAGCACCAAAGGACACAACCCTAGGCACGAAACCCGAAGGCGGCGGTAGCATGCAACGGTCACAATCTAGACGACACAACTCCCAAAAAAGCACACCCCCATACGTTCTAAACCTTAAATCTCCCCGAGCCTCTTTAATGTGAAACCCCTTCGTCTTTCATCCTTGGGCTTGGGGGGGTAGTGTACTAGTAAGCACCCTTTCGGTCATGCAATAGGCCGAAAGGAGCGCCCAAACTAATGAAACGCACCAATTGGCACCCCTTCGGTCGGACAATAGGCCGAAAGGGGGGGCCCGAACCAAGGAGCCACACCAACTGCCCCCTCAGGTCAGGAAATAGACCGAAAGGAATGCCCTGGCCGAACACCCCTTCGGCCCCAAGCTTGGCCGAACACTCCCTCGGTCTCGTGAGTAGCCAAAAACCCAGAGAAGGGATCTGAAGCTATTCCAAACACCCCTTCGGCCCCAAGCTTGGCCGAACACCCCTTCGGCCCCAAGCTTGGCCGAACACTCCCTCGGTCTCGTGAGTAGCCAAAAACCCAGAGAAGGGATCTGAAGCTATTCGAAACACCCCTTCGGCCCCAAGCTTGGCCGAACACCCCATCGGCCCCAAGCTTGGCCGAACACTCCTTCGGCCTCAAGCTTGGCCGAGAACCTGAAGAAAGAGCCTATGATAAACACGTGGCAAGCCAACTGCCTACTTTGCATTAATTACCATACCAGATTAAGACAGGATTAAGGTTAAGTCATGTATTACCCATTTCCCAAGGATGAAGGCCCATCAGGCCCACATATGTCGCTATAAATATACAGGTGGTGTGACATAAATGAGGTACGTTACTATTCCCGCTAATGCATTTATTGCTCTGAGCCGAACACTGACTTGATCGTCGGAGTGCCTGTGCAGGTACCCTCCCCCACCACGCGGAGCTAGTGTTCGGTCAACACGGAAGATTCAGAAAGACTTGAAGGCAACTAGGAAGGATCAAGGAGAAGAGTATTCTTACGCAGGAACACTAACTAAATTTTATTTTTCTCTAATATACTTTACTTTGTATACTCAAATTTATTCATAATTCATTCATACTTCCAAAATTGTTTAAACTCCTCATCTTTAATTTAACATTTTATTTAAAAAAACTATCTACGTATGCCTTACATCAAAGTACTTTTCTTTTCCCAGAGGATTGCGTCAAGGTACTTTAATAATGACTTTTATTTGTTTTCTTTTGGGGAGGGTGTTTTGCGATTTTAGTTTTATAAATTTTAATCAAATAATTTTAGTTTATTAAATATTATAATTATATAATTTTAATCTTTTAAATTTTTATAAAATAATTTGATTTTTAAAGTGCTACAATTATATAATGTTAATCTCTCAAATATAATAATTATATAAATTTTTATCTATTTAAATTATATATTAATAATTTTAATAATAATAAATATATATTATTTTATACATAAATAATAATTATAATATATGTAACTTAAATATGTCAAAAGTTATATGATTATGAATTTGATGGATTAAAATTGTACGGTTGTGATAATTAATAAATTAAAAAAAAGTAATTTCATACACAAATGTGTAACATTGTACGTTTAGTTAATTATTGTGTTTTTATCGATAATTACATTGTGTATAGTGTTTTAAGGTGTGGTTGAGCAACTTTGGAAGATAAGGAACTCTTGAAGACTTTTTAAGTATTTTCTAAGATTTCTTTGGGCAGAGGTCTAATTTGATCCTAAGAAAGTATATAAGATTTTTTTTTATATTCGAGTCTCATAAACTCATTCCTTAGAGAAATTAGAGAGAGAAACTTTGAGATTCTGATTCTTCTCTTTTCTCAACTTCCCAAGCAATTAGGATCATCATTGTATTTGTAATTCAAAGTTTATGGTTGAGAATCAAGGCTGTGGTGTTATGTAAATCTTCCCGGAGCTCGAGGTCCGTTCTACTTCTTTTTCCTCTCTATATCATACAACATCATACCAAAAATATACATGAAAGCTAAACAATCCAAAGCTAACATTGTGAAGAAAAGATAAACACTAGAAAATGGTTGAATAATGTGCATCAAAAACACATGATTTTTCGTAGTGAAGTAGTAACTCTAGTCAAATGAAGTATGAAGAGTAGATAGATAAAACACTGGGAAATTTTATATTGATTCTTTTTAACCACCGAGACTATATTCAATTCTTAATTTAACTATATTGAGTTGCACTATCTTTAAACAAAGATACAAGTATTCTTTCAACAAGTCACTTCTTGTTTAACCTTAAGTATTCTTTGACTTGTCTCTTCAAGCAACTACCCAAGTATTTTTTTAACAAGTCTTTCCAAACTTAACAATCAAATATTCTTTTACATTCAAATCTCTCGAACCTCAAAAATTATTCTTTTTAGACAAGCTTCTCTATGCTTAACCTTATAACAATGATTATGAAGGTTATATAAGTGTTGTGTTCATTTCACTAAAATGTTATACAATTAGTACAAAACAATGAATGTTTACAAGAAAGAATAGATTTACAAAGAATATATTTATGTACAAAGTATATGTATCACTTAAAATTGGTGTCTATGTCTTTCTTATGCTTTGAATCTT